AATAAAATCTGTCATTTTCAGTTTTTTGCAAATATCTCACAAACCGTTGATGATTTTATGGATCTGAAAATACCATTGTGTTGCATCCCTAAAAAGGTAAATTTTGTTCCAGTTAACCGTCCTTGTACGACCTACCGTTTCCGAGATAGCAATAGTGGTATCAGCTAAAAGAAAACGACACAGCGGAATAAATATTTATTGAAATATGGAACTACAAAAACAATTGACATTAAAATGGACAAAACTTTCGAAACAACCTAAAACATCATTGTTATCCAATATTTTTTTTAAATCGTATAAAGTTGACTTCATTGAAACTACGATTCGGTCTAGGTTCGGGGGTAGTATCCATATAATTGGTTTCCAATGATGAAATTGAAGAAGTTTCAAGTTTAAAATTGAGACAATTCTCTATCAGTTAATGTTGAGTCATACTATTCACGTACGTTCCTCATCCACATAGTGGTTTGTTAGTAGTCCTCTCCTATTATAAAACTTTTCATTTCCAGGTGACCCATCAGATAACCGGCCAAGTAATGGTGCTAAAAATGAATACGCGTCATTCGAACAGGCGCAACATGCTCAAAGAGATCCAGTTGATGAACCGTCTCTCGCACCCCAATATCTTGCGACTGATGGGAGTTTGTGTTCACGAAGGTCAACTCCATGCCCTCACCGAGTACATCGCCGTCGGGTCTCTCTATCAGGTCATCCAGGATATAACTTTCGACTTGGAGCAGATGACTAGGGTATCCATTGCCAAGGATATAGCCGCCGGAATGGAGTACCTCCATCAGAAAGGGGTGATCCACAGGGACTTGACAAGCAAGGTGAGTCCGATGTTGTTGGAACAGCATTTTGAGGTGATGAACATCGTTGAACACGATTTTTTTTGTTGGCAGAGGGAAAATCTTTCAAATAGTCGAAACAATCTGTTTTGCTGTGAAAACTGACGGGTCATGATGAAGAATGATGCGAGGTTTGAGGTTGTATAATTTTCTGATTTCTTCGAAGACTTGGCAAACGAGTTACTATACATATTTTTTATCAAACATGCGGCAAAAATTTAAGGGACTATTCCTTGGGCTATTCTACGGATATTTTGCCCTTTGAGGATTTTTGATAGGGCACTTGGTTTTGAAGATACGGAGCGAAAAAGAATTTTGACAATAACAATTTATTACCAAAAATTACATGTAATGTTTCTAAATCTATAGGAATTGTTGAAAATATGCCTATGAGGGTATANCAATTGCAGTGATTTTAAAAGGAAAATATCGGCCGTTGATCATAATAAAGAAAATAACTTTACGTTTTCTTCGCTCGATTTGAGTCAGTGATAGTAAACTGGAAGGAAAATTTTAATTTTGCAGGGCTATTCAAATTTGAAGCTAGGCATGGAGATCTCGTAAATGGTGAAAGATGAAACATTGAGAAAAAAAAGTTGGTCAAAACAACAAAATATCATTGAATTGAATTAAATGAATGTGTTGGTATCCCACAATTAAATACAGGGTCTTTCAAATTCGATCTTCACCATTGGGATCTCGGAAAGTATGAGAGATACCTGACTAACAATATACCGTTGAGAAAGTTCTGAGATTTCGAGTAAGGTGAAGTGGGGTAAATGTGATCTCCTTTTTGATTAGTTCAACTTTCATTCAATATAAAACTGCAAAGAAACATTTTGAAAATTTAAGAAAAATACCATATACTTTTTGAGCGATTTTGTATTCATTGTGTACGAGAAAGTCAAATAATATTTATTGTAGTTAATGTTGCGTGATTTTTTTTAAATCATGTCAATATATCACATTTACATATGTATGCAAATATGACGAAAGTTTATATTTTTGTAGGAAATAGTATATTCCGTAGTCTGGGGCTATTGTATAAAAAATCAATTCAAGCTCTCTGTTTTTGTTATTTTTTATAATTTATTTTGTTGAAACAATACAAAAAATATGAACTTTTTGAAAACAATGTCAGAAGAAAGGAAACAAAAAGAAAATAAAATCAAACACAAAATACTCCCAGATGTCTTAAAGTTAATGCTGAATGTTAAAATTTTTAAATGCAACGGGAAATTCGTACATTCCACGTCTATCAACGATAGGATCGGGATGTACTTTTATAATATCCTGTTGAAGTACAGTATCAATGTCGGCAATTGTTGGCCAAACAAATATTTCCTTTAGGTCGTGTGAATTTAACTATTCAACCATCATCTATATATTCTGATACAAGTCCCACATAATGTTTAATTTTCTTTTTTGAGCAATATTGCACCAATACCCAACATCCGACATATACATTTTCAATTCTTGTTAAATCCACATTCTGTTCGTCTTCTTCTTTATCATTTGCATCTTCTTCCAATCTCGTTTATTTCGTTTTTTGGGCTTTCTCTTACTTATCTTATTAATCTTTGTATTTTTTTCTTTTTGTTGGGATTTGTCTTTTAAAACATCAATAGCTTGTTGCGATGTCAATACTTCAGATCCAGGGCATAAGCGTTTTTCATTTGTGTGCGTTTGGAAGTTGCTTTACCGTTGATAACAATAACTCTTCAAAGGTAACGTTCTCCTTTTTAATTGAACTTGCACTTGATGAACATGGAATTGGTTCGGTTTCGTCAACTCTGGCAGCTATATTTTTCTTTTCGTCGGGAGTGGCAGTTTCGATTACAGCTGCAGCTGTAGATTCTCTGCTTAGAGAAGATAGTTCTCGAGATTCAGGAGTTGCTTCAATGTCTACCATTACTTCATTGCCGTTTTCTTGTATGGATAAGCAGGGATTTCCCATCATCTTCCATTTGTTAAGCAAGCCTGGTGGAAAAGATGTTTCAGGGATAACGTCACGATTAAAAGGAATAATTCCACCTTTTTTAAAACCGTTAATAGCAACACACTGGTATTT